TAGAGATCGACATAAAAAAATGCTATTATTGGACGGATTCTTCTATAGTGCTGCATTGGATCAAAGCCACTAACAAGAAACTACCTGTTTTCGTGGCTCACAGAGTTGGCGAAATACAGGATCTAAGCGCGGTCGACAGTTGGAATCACGTAGGAAGCAAGGATAACCCAGCCGATTTAGTGTCAAGAGGAGCACATCCGAGAGAATTGGCTGACTCTCAGCTTTGGTGGAGAGGTCCTTCTTGGCTGCAGGTAAACATCATCGTCCAGCATCATTCAGAGATCGTGGACATGGAGGAAAGTCAACTGAACGAAAACGATACCTCGACGGTTCTGTCAATGCCTATTCAAGCAGACGTCGATCCATTCAGCAAGTTTTCTGAGTTCAAGAAGCTCATTCGAGTCGCTGCGATGTGCATACGATTTGCACGCTTCTGTGCGAAGAAAAACGAGATTAAAGCTTCAGGTCCATTGTCACCCGAAGAAATAGAATACGCTAGAAAGTGTATAATCAGGAGAGAGCAACGAACAGCGTTCTGTGAGGAGTTACGAGCGTTAAGAAAGGGCATCGAGATGTCACGTAAAAGTAGCGTGAGAGCAATGAATCCTTTTCTCGATGAGGATGACATTTTGCGTGTCGGTGGCAGATTGGAGCATTCGGAACTTCATCAGGACGCTAAGCATCCTATACTTTTACCTCATCACTCAAGATTAGCTAAATTAATTATTCAGTATGAGCATAAGAAGAATCTTCACGCTGGAGTTGAGGCGACACTCGCCGCAGTACGACTTCGATATTGGCCGATCAGGGCGCGCGGAACGGTCAAAGGACTGCTACGTCAGTGCATCACGTGTTTCAAGGCCCGACCACGAATATCGGAGCAAATAATGGGCAACCTCCCGACGCATAGAGTTGCGACTGCGAGACCATTCAGTTCTACTGGCGTAGACTTTTGTGGTCCTATATTCATCCGCGAAGGAAGACGCAAGAATAGCAAACATATTAAGGCCTACGTTGCAGTATTAGTATGTATGGCCACGAAAGCTGTTCATTTAGAGGTCGTATCGGACCTGAGCACGGACGCCTTTCTTAACGCCTTTAAACGCTTCATTAGTCGCAGAGGAAAACCAAGTCTCAGACAACGGCACGAACTTTGTCGGTGCCAATCGGGAGCTGGAAGACCTCAGAAAGCTATTCGCTCAAGAAGATCATCAACACAAGATTATTGACGCAACTTCCAGCGAAGGAATAAGATGGCATTTTATCCCTCCCCGAGCGCCACATTTCGGTGGCTTGTGGGAGGCTACAGTTCATCTTTCAAGGGTCATTTCTACAAAGTAGCTTCAGAAGCCGCACTAACCTTCGAGGAAGCCTCCACGCTCGTCACACAAATAGAAGCGATTCTCAATTCGAGACCATTGAACGCTCTCTCATCGGATTCTAATGACTTGAATTATCTGTCCCCAGGTCACTTTCTTGTAGGCAGCTCACTGGTTTCTTACCCTGAGCCAAACATAACTCAGGTTAAAATAAATCGTCTGTCGAGATGGCAGCGGCTGGAGCAGATACGCCAGCATTTCTGGAAACGCTGGTCACTCGAGTATCTGTCACAATTGCAACGACGTGCCAAATGGCATACTAATCGCGGCGAACAGCTCAAGGTTGGTCAACTGGTGCTATGTAAAGAGGATGGACTGCCGCCATTGAGATGGATGCTGGGTAGAGTACAGGAAGTCTGTCCCGGCAACGATAACATCATCAGAACTGCTATTGTAAAAACTGCTAGAGGAGTCTTTAAAAGGCCCGCCGTAAAATTAAGCGTACTTCCCATTGAGTCTTCTACGAATCTTAAAGAAGATTAACTATTTCAGAGATTTTCATAAGACTAATATACATTATAATTTCTTTTGTTACTTGATTAGAAATCACATTGTTATATGTAAAATGCGATGTTGATGCCCATATAAGGCATCAAGGCGCGCGGTATGTTCGTGCAATATATTGGTTGAGTTTGTTTGCATATATGTCTATGTTTCGCAATTATTTTCAGTTTATTGAGTTCACGTATTTAGTTAGATGTTATGCGTCTTGTATCTTACGTATAACGTCTTTTTTAAGTTTAAGTTACATTTGTGAGCGCTAGATAGATGGCGCAAAGAGAAAGGAAGTAGTAGAAGTCTTTCGTCAGCGCACGAACGAACGTCGTTGTAAGCCACGTATTCAGTATCCGAATAAATATCAAATCTAAACTCTAAACAGTGTGAAAAGTCAATTAATACGTGCCGAGCACCGGTCCTCGCATGAGGACACTACATACGCCTTGTCGCTCGCGTTGTTTCGTCACGACTCTCCCGGTCGTCTCCGCGCCTCTCGCGGCATCAGATACGCCACGCGCGGCCGACATGCCAGTCACGCGGCGGGAAAACAAAAAAAAGAAATGTATATAGACTGTCTCGCGGAATGAAATAAAAAGTATCTTTCTACAATATCATCGTTAAATTTATCGTAAAATAAAAAACAACATATAAAGTATAACTATTTCTTATGTTCTTGTCCTGTTTGGTTAAATAATGAAGCATAGTATGCAAATATATTATTGACGTAAAAAGCGCATGATCAAATAATTATAATAATATTTTCTAGTACATATTAAAAGATTATGAATAAAATGAACAAAAACTGAAATGTTAATTTTTATTCACTGTAGCATCTCTTGAGTCAGCTCGAAAGAGTGCAACAGACTCTACTTATGAAACGACTGATGAAGAACGACTGGGTCGAGGGAAGAGGCAATATGTTTCATACAGTCGGTTCAGAAATGATGAAGAAGAAGAAGATTCTGATTATTATCAATCACGAAAATATAATAAAAGTAAGGTATTATTGATATTTTACTATAGTTGCGTTTACTTTAGACGCTTTTGTACTAAAAGCATTATTCTACCTTTATTCAGCATATAATGAGCAATAAAGATTGTTTTACGCTATTAACAAAAGTATCCTAAATAAACTCGTCCTATTTTGTTTATAATACAATTATAATCGTTAAATATATTTTTTGTATGTTTAATAACCTTGCACTGTTTTTATTTACAATATATATTATATTATATATATGTATTAGTTGCAATGTAATATTTGTGTACATAAAGACCTAATATTGAAATTAAATTATTTGGTTGTTTACAGAGAGGGAAATGAGTAAGAGTACTACAGTAAATGTTCAGGCAACATTACCATCATGTCCTTCAAACTTGGACCTTAATAGCGGACAATCCAACATATTGAATGATCATACAATTAATAATGCAAGCGGATTCAGCCAAAAAACTATACAAAATGGTATCTTTTTAAGATAATATGTACAATTATAATTATTATTGCAATTACAGTTATTTGTATACTTCTAGAAGAAAGAAATGACCCATTGAGGATAGATGATAGCGAGGGTGAATGTTCCAATCTGAATGAAACATCAATAATATTACAAGGTAATAAATTATAATATTACAATCACCAAACATTAATTGCAATACTACAAATTTATTTAGTACTTTGCACGTTAATTAAATGTTGTAGATAATGTTCTCCCGGTCAGAAACTTAGAAGACATCATTAATGTAAAAGGTATTATTTTTGCATATTATTTGCATTAAATTAACTAATTAAACTTACTAATTATCACTTTGTAACGTAATTTGTTGTGTTCATAATTTTTTTGCAGATATTGTAGATAACATGAAACAAATGTTGCGCATGCAAGCAGCATCAAATATTGTGTTGAAAGATATACAGCAACGATTATCAAAGATAGAAGTTGCCAGTAAACGCCGCACATTAAGTCCTATCAATATTAATGATGATTGCATAGCGCGATTTTTACCATTAACGACAATTGCTGTGGTGAAAGAGTTTGATGCATTACTAAAAGTATCAGCTGAAGCCGTGATACAATTTGTAAGTACAAAAATTTTAGCTTAATCAGCATTTGATATTATTAGAGGAGATTATTAGACATTTATCGATGTTTCCGATTTTTAAATCTTTGTCATGACTTTTCTATATTCCTCTATTTTTAACAGTATTTGTGTTTTCACTAATTGATTGAAGAATATGATAATAAAATCATTTAATTATATATAAATTATTATACAAAACTGTATTGTACATTTCTGTTGCAATATTATTGAACACTTTATGATTTAAAAACACGATTTTAAATATAATTTTTTATCTTGTTTCAGAAACAGTTTTTGTCAAAAACGGGTGGGAACAATGCCAGAGATAATATTCACCGTATTCTAAAAAAACATTAACAAATGAATGTTCCATGAAATGTTGTTCTTGGAAAGGACTACGAAATAATTTCAAAGTTTTAAACTTACATTTCATCGAAATTATTAAAAGTAAGTTATACATGTATTATAGATGTATGTGACTACAAATTACAACTTTTTTCATAATGGTTTTATTAATTCTTTATCTCTTTTCTTTCTTTTCAGAAGAAGTAACATCACGTTATGTTACATTAACGGAAACAGAATTTGATAACATAGTTACAGAGTGGATACGCTTTGCAGCACAGCGAAATAAGAGAGACAAATCAAAGGAAACGGTTGACGGAAATGATAAAGAAAACATTGCTGATCCAAACCATGAAGAAAGTAACTAAAAATAAAAGTTGCATTATGTATGCATGTATATATTTATATACATTACCTCTGTAAACTCGATGTAAAGGATTTCACTGGTGCGGATTCTGTCATCTGAAGGAAACAGTACCGGTGATGGTTATAAAACAAGCCAGTGGGTGCTGGAACTGTTCCCTTTTAAAGATAGAGTCCGCACTGGCTACGCTAGTGGGTGCTGGGACTATCTTTTTTGGGAACAGAGTCCGCGCTGGCTACGCTGGACTGTCACTCTTGGGTGGCATAGTCTGCACCAATGGGATTTTTAAATCGAGTTTACTACGGTTACCTGAATGTTATCTTTCTTTTATTTTTGAATTGCGAGATCTCAGAGTATACATTATAATTTTGTAAAGTGCAAACTTATTTCTAACATTCTGCAAAGTTTTGGTTTTTCTAATATTCTCTTGGTCTTTTATAATATAATTTGGTTTGGACAATGCCCTTGATCATAATTAACGTTTTGCAGAATGCAGAATGTTTGAAGTATTTGAATGTTTCAAATTTCTTGTGTGATTCTGTATTTTTAAATGTATATTTTTGGTCACACTGCGACTGACATTCTGCAAAATGTTGGAAATTTGTTTTTACATTGTCCATTCTGTAAAATGTTAAAAATATTATTTCCGTTTCTTTAAATATGATATATTTTCGGTAACTCCGCCCGACATTTTGCAAAATGAAAGAAATTCGTTTTCATACGTTTCATTCTGCAAAATGTTAGAAATATGTTGTCCGTTTATATAATCATGTCTTTTCCATAACACTGCGCCTGACAGTCTGTAAAAAGTTAGAAATACGTTTTCACACGGTTCCGTTTCTTTAAAAACATGTATTTTCCGTTACACTGCGCTTGACATTCTGCAACATATTAGAAATATGTTAAATATTTTCCGTTTCGTTAAATATTATGTATTTTCGGTAAAAACGCCTGACATTTTGCAAAATGTTTGAAAATCGTTAATACCTGTGTTCGTTTTCTCCCACTGGGAGCAGAAACTATACTGAAAGTCTATAATTTACGTAACGTAATCTACAGAGTTTCAGTATAGTTTGTGCTCCCAGTGGGAGAAAACAAACGCAAGCATTACATTCGCCAAATGTTAGCAATATATATATTTTCCGTTTCTTTGAATATGTATTTTTGGTAATACCGCCTTATATAATGCAAAATGTATGAAATTTGTTTTCACATGGTTCATTCTGCTAAATATTAGAAATATGTTTTCTGCTTTAAATATTATGTTTTTTCGGTAACACCGCCTGACATTTTGCAAAATGTATGAAATTTGTTTTCACATGGTTCATTCTGCTAAATATTAGAAATATGTTTTCCGCCTTAAATATTATGTTTTTTCGGTAACACCGCCTGACATTTTGCAAAATGTTAGAAATATGTTGTCCGTTTGTATGGTAAATATTTACTCTTACATAGCACCCGCCAATCAACTTCCGTTTGACCTTGATGTTGACCTTGACCCCCAAGGAGGTCAAGGTCATTGCCCATTCCCGTCGCTCATTGTTTGTTAAAAAGTTATGAAGAAAATAAGTTTGGTTTATGTGTAAGTTGCAAGTGCGTTTAGCACGGCGCGCTGCGCGCGCCCCACCCCCTCCCGCCCCCCACCCCCGCCCCACCCCCTTCCCCTCTCCTACCCCACCACGCAACCCATGTTGTGTCGCTACAATTCGTCGGTATGACAGAAAGTGGCAAGTTGCATAGACATAAAAGATAGACCCAGTATAA